CGGAGGGTAAAAAATTGCCTCCATCCCCATCCCCATCCCCGCGGGTATTCGAAGTCTCCACCAAATAAAGCTATCACCTTTTTCACTGCTTGTTAATCAAAATTCCAAAAGAAAATAGCAATTTTATAGAATCCTATATAGAAAACAAAGATGATCAAGATCACTCTTTTAAAATAAGTTGGAGGTGAGCGGTGGTGAGTGAGGAGCGTTGCTGACTTGCAGTGATGGGCTGACGACACGGTGCCACGGTGAGAGGCGGGCTGAGACCCAACGGCAGCCTTGGAGCTCAGCTAGAGGTGAGTGGCGATCGTTGCAAGGCAGTAGGGGCTAGGGGTTGTAGTGACGGCGAGGTTGAGAGCTGAAGGGAATCATTGTGAAGGTTCGTGGAGATGAGGGCAGAGTTTGAGCAAGAGTGTGGCAGAGGACTAGAGGAGAGGAAACTCAGAGACTGGTTGGAGAAACCGACCGAGAGACGGCATGGTGAGTCAGTGAGAGGTTGAGAGCTGAAGGAAAGCACCGATTCATAGTGATCCGTGGAGATGAGGGCAGAGTTTGAGCAAGAGTGTGGCAAAGGACTAGAGGAGAGGAGACTCAAAGACTGAATGGAGAGGAGAGATTGACGCCGACGGAGAGAGGAATGAGGAATCCCAATTCCCAAATTCGCAATTTGCAATTGCAAGAAGCAGCAAGCAAAAGAGAGACTAAGTGAAATGTCCTCTTGCTAGGGTTATATGTAAATCGGGCCTGTAAATTGGGGCTAGGCAATTAGGTTTAGGATTATTAGATTCACAAAAAAAATTGGGTTGGGCTGAGAATTGGGTTTGAAAAAATTGATAAAAGAATGGGTTGTGAAATTTAAGTTGTGTTGGTATTAGGTTAACTAATTAAATTGGATAAGTAAAAATTAATTGCTAATATATGTACAAAAAATATATATAAAAACAAATTTATATTTTTTTTATTTTATATGGATCTCTACGGTTCCCCATGAGGTGGAGAAAATTCCCTGTGAAATTTTACAGGTAAAAAATTGCCTCCATCCTCACCCCACGAGTAAGAATATTCTGAGAATCTCCATCCTCATAACGGGTATCTCCGCGAAGCTCTACGGATCACGGAGAAAATTGCCATCCTTATTTAAATTGCGTTAGTGTTGGGCGGTATTACCCTACCCTATAGCCCAATTTGGATTTGGTGAAGCCTCCACGGCCAGCCCATTGGGCTTACAGGCCCAACTCTCTAAAAGTATGTCAGGTCAAGAGAAGAGATTAAAAACAGAAAGAAAAAGTTGGAGAGAACAGTATTGGGCCTTCTGGCCCACTTTTCAACCCAATTTTGACTTGATTAAAACCCCCATTCCATTGGCCAGCCCGTTGGCCTAATGGACCAATTTCTAGAGAAATATAAATCTCATTGAAGAAAATTTTTTATTTCTGGTTTTTACTGTTCTTAACTTTGGAAAAAATGTCATTCACTTTATTTTTTAAAAGTTAAGAGTAAAATTATTTTGCACTTGGCTTTGGATCAGTGGCAACAAAGCCATGTTAAAGT